TTTCAGGTTGAAGAAGCTGTGGCTGTACTCGTGGCTCATCAAGCCAAAGAGAGTGCTACAAAGAAAGGCCCTGAGTAATCTCCCTTGGAAAGGATTTAGCATTGGATCAGTTGTCACCAGATTCACAGAATTTCTTAGAGTTTTAAAAGGAACTCCGTTTCACCAACATACCCAAAAAAAATTTAAAATAATTCTGAAAAAAAAATAGTTTCACCTGGTTTACAAATCTAAAAAATTAACAAAATTTGTTACTTTAGATGTTTGGTACTTGAAGTTATTTAGAAAAAAAAAAAACAGTAAAATTTTGGATTATCAATAAAAAAAAATATTTACCAAAGTAACGTAGATTTTCTGAAATTGAAATTAAATTGAAAGTGGACTTTGACAAGCAAAGGAATATTTAATATTGTCAAAACTTCTAGTCAAGTAATTGACTTTTCAAAGCGTTCAGTTTGTGTTGGGCAAGTCAAAGTGTCAGCCTTAATTTCATTTTAGTTTCCGAAAATTAATTTTGGGATGAAGATCAAAATTTAAGAACTATTTAACAAAAAAAAGATGGGACAAATCTACAAAACCAATCTTTTCATGGAAAGATAAAAAATACAAATGATTAAAAAAAACTGCAAAATAATTTTTCAATTTGTAGATACTTGTTTATTTACATTCACTTAAAAAAAAAAAAACGCAAAACAAATTGCCAGTTTGTAGGATATTTTTTTTCTTTAGTTTATTAATGGAGAAATGGTTTACTATTGAGGATTATTTTCTTTTAACTTTTATTTTCTTTGTACATTTTTGAAATTCTTTGGTTAAAAAAACACTGTACATCCAATAAAAGAAGCTGTTCAGATTTTTTTGTTTCCTTTTCAAAGGATTGTAAAAATGTTATATTTTAGTTAATGATTTCATGTTAAGAGATCTTGTGATAGAAATTTTAGGATGAAAATGCATTTTAACAATCGAGTGGCAAATTAAGGAATTCCATCTGGAAAAAAATAATTGATTCAAATTTGATCCCCAAAATGGGTGTGGTTGTGATCAACAGCATCTTATGAGAATGGGTGTGGTTGTGATCAACAGCATCTTATGAGAATGGGTGTGGTTGTGATCAACAGCATCTTATGAGAATGGGTGTGGTTGTGATCAACAGCATCTTATGAGAATGGGTGTGGTTGTGATCAACAGCATCTTATGAGAATGCACACCGGAAAGAAAACTTTTAAATGTGATGTTTGTAGTCTACAGGGACACATGAGAATTCATACTGGATAAAAACTCTATAAATGTGTTATCAGACATTTAGTCTTGATTTGAACTTAATGGTCAAGGGGGTGTCTCAGATGTTTTTTTAGTAAATTGTTTTCCTAGAGAAATCGGTCTATGAAAGAAAACAGGGAATTGGGGACGGATAAGTTTCTATGAATTATTTTTATCACAAGGTCTCTTCGAATTAAAATCTGTTTCCATATTATGTGGAAAGTTTCATATTTCTAGTTCCTTTCAACCAGTCTTTAATTTCTCTACAATAAAACTATCATTCTGGATTAAATATATATCTAGTTTGTTGTTATATATTCCCATATTGATATCTGCTCGTTTGTAGTCATTTGAATGGAACTAAAGATCCAAGATCCTGTGTACACAACAGGGGGCACATAAAAAAACCCTTGACAGTTGGAATTTGACTGTGAGTAGGTCGTAGTGCCAAGGACTTTGAAAGGGTGGGGAATATAATGCAAATAAAGATTTTTAAGTGGAGTCTTCGCTTATGAAAAAAGACTTGCCCATTCCTGAATAGCTAGCCCATACTCCCATAACTTGGATGGTTCGAGACTATACATTGTCTGCCATATCAATATTAAGACTACCCTGATATGGCAAAGTAGGTCGTACCCTTTAAAAACCGCTACCCCAACCCACGACTAATAACTTGGATGGTTAGCGACAATACCTTGTCTGCCATATCACTATTGTGGAATACAAAACTATACATACTTATGGGGAAATATGAAAGCTCCTTTCCATAAGTATGGTTATAGTTTGTTTTTTTTTATACCCAGTTACTAAATCCCACTAAAAGAATACTATTGTGGAAGCACATTAACAGTTTAGTGGTCTGCCTCCAGTTGAAATTATTTCCCTTGAATATTCCTGATAGAAAGTGCAGGGGGAGTACACCAGACATAATTACACAAAACAAATCTACGGAGGTGAAGGCTGTCAGTGATCGGGCTGAATGGAGTCTTTTACTCATTTGAATACCTATTTACACTAAATAGGAAATAATTTTTACCTGCAGTGTGGGTCCTCCAACCTTGGAGAGGAACGGATATAGTATCTTCCTACTTTCTCTTAGAAAAGGAAAACGGAATACCCAACCAGGTTTCTGGGAAAGCCAATTTGACACAGTAGAATTTTTTTTTTGTGAACTCAACTCAAAGGTGAGGCAAAATAAACCAGCTTAAAGGCCCTTTTTTTCTAAGGTGGTTAAACTTGGCTTTTGAATGGGTCTGCTTAAACTAGGTCATTTCGGGACTAACATCTGGTTCAATTTTAATTCAATAATTCGCTTCTGCGTAAGGTTCTTTAGCAATGGATGGAAACCCACGAGGCTGTTAAGGGCACCCTACTTCTTGTCTATGTACAAGCGGTGAATCGAAACCACGACACTTGACTCGATGACAGAGATTTCAGAAAATGTCCACGATGGCGATAAAACCAAATCCAATATGGCAGATCTATTTCGTCATAATGAATAAGAATCCCTAAAAATGGAAAACACCACATGCTTTGTGTTTATCATTGGATATATGTTAATTCTCTTTGAAAGGAGGGGCATTAATTTTAGCGCTTCCTGTCACATGGCGAACTCATCCCCCACCCCCAGTCTTTCTACGTAGTATATATGTAGATAGTTTAATTCGGTTTAAAATTGAGATTGATCCTGACTCTGTCTTGTTGCATGCATCTTTCCTGTGGGTGGTAACCATAATACACATAGTAAACCCATGAAATGTAATGGGTTTAACGTCCTACTGTTCTGCTCCGACTGAGCTAATGAACACGGGCATACACCATGCAGTGTGCTATGAGGGAAATTTTGCCTGTACTGCTGCGCTACGGCCTACTCTTATATCCAACTGCCGAGGGATCTTTTACATGCATGCCAGTGTCTGTTGACTTCGGGTTTTCGTCCCAACCGATCAACTAGACAGCTTGCCTTGTTAGATTCTCCGTCCTACACCACTGACAAAGGGAAACCCCGCTGGAAAATCCAGATGAACTCTCTCGGCCAACACCGGGAGCGAACCGCAACCTCCAGGGTAGTGAGCCAGCGCCTTACTCACTTAGCCACCGTGTCTCCCTGTTACTAAGCCACATACACTCACACCAGGGATCAAAACAATGGCCGCAAGCCATAGGTCACCGGCCAGCTAGAGCTCGAAGCACAACACTATCACGAGTGTGATGAAGGCGCGCCAGCGTCCGAGGGGGGTCTGGGGGGGGGGGGGATCTCCCCCCATGAAAATTTTGAAAATTGACAACCACAAACCCATTTTCCAAGCATTTCAGACCAACGCAGAAGAAGGCAAATTTTTGATTTCCTGATACAATTAGATAACAGAATGACTTAAGAGCACTATCATTAGATGAATTTGAGAATTCTCTTCAGTGTCAAAAACAAAATCCTTTTATTCTCCTTTTTTTTATTTTCTTTTTTTTCTTTTTTCTTTCTCATTTTTCTTTATAGGCTTAGGCCCACTTTTTTTTCATGAGCTTAGGCCCACCTGTCACGGACAGATGGACAGGTGGACCCATGCAGTCCGGCACTGCACTATAGACCACTAAGCCATCCCAACCCATCAATGATTACTTAAAGGGCCAATCCCGATAATATTTTGGATGTTCCCACCTACTATATTTCTAATTACCAACGGTTCTTTTTATGTACATTGGACATTGGCCGAGAAAGTTCTTCCAGATTTTCCGGCTGTCTAGTCGTTCAGATTGTACGAAAAAGCGAGGTCCTGTGTACACATTGGCGTGCACATAAAAGATCCCTTGACAGTTGGAATTTGATATAAGAGTAGGCCGTAGCGCCGCTGCCTGGGCAAAATTTCCCTCATAGCACACTGTATGGCATATGTCCGTCTTCATTAGCCCAGTTCGGAGCAGAACAGTAGGACGTTAAACCCCATTTCATTTCTAGTTAACGAGCGTAATACTCACTGAACCACTAATCATTTTCGTTCAACACTTACGTCAAACCCATGTCTTTGGTCATCTGCTTATTGCACACCATGTCTACATATGGCATATGTCCGTCTTCATTAGCCCAGTTCGGAGCAGAACAGTAGGACGTTAAACCCCATTTCATTTCTAGTTAACGAGCGTAATACTCACTGAACCACTAATCATTTTCGTTCAACACTGACGTCAAACCCATGTCTTTGGTCATCTGCTTATTGCACACCATGTCTACATTCGTAAAGATCATGCCCGCCAATATTTACTTATGCCATATGGCCTGAACTGCCTCTGAATTTTGTTTTGATTTTATATAATTAAAAAATATGAATAATTGATTTTCTTCAGATTGCCGCTGACGAACAAGGCTCCAAAGGTTATGGTTTTGTTCATTTTAAAACCGAAGAAGCAGCTAAACAGGCTATTGAGAAAGTCAATGGTATGTTGTTAAACGGTAAGAAAGTAAATGTAGGAATGATGGGTGAGGAATATGATGATGACAAACTGAAAGTAGAGATGGAAAAATTTGGAAAGGTCATCAGTGCAAAGGTAAAATATGTTTTTAATACTGGTAGTTAGCAGTTGGATGTTATAGTTCAGTGTTCGTGCCTTGTAATTGAAACTATTTTTCATGACCTTGAGTACCATAAACTCATTCTGATATTCTTGAAAATCGTTTTCAATTGAAATTCAGAACCATATATTTTTGGGGCCCGTTATTTTATTTTTTTACCATTTTAATATTTTTATAGGTGATGACAGATAACCAGAATCTATCAAGAGGCTTCGGTTTTGTCAGTTTTGAAGATCCAGAAACTGCTGAAAAGGTAAATTAGATTACATATATCTGTCGGTATTGATATGTATGCCTGCTGGGGAGGTTGGATGGCCGAATGGTTAGCACGTGCATGCTGTATCATAGTCTGTCATTGAGTCAACTGGCCTGGTTTCAAATCCCCGGTTGTACGTGACAATGAGAAGGGTTGCCTGTCCAACCTCGTTGGTTTTCTCCGGGTCCTCCGGTTTCCTCCCACTACTAAAGCCCCCACGCGCAAGCAAATTATAGAAATAAAATTGAACTATGTGTTAGTTCCGAAATGAGCTAGTTTGTGTTTAGTGGACGTTAACTGTCAAAATGTCAAAACAGGAAGTTTACAAGCAAGTGAAAGTCGCCTGTTTATAAGAAGTAACTCCTTTCATTTCTAACGGGTTTTGTCATTAAAAGTTGTCGGAGGTAATATTATAGGTGTCGACAAAAGCCGACTTTAGTCAGCTAAGAGTTAAAAAAAAAAAAAAATTATTGGCAGCCATCAATCAGTAATTGTATCTGATGGCTGGTGAGACATTTTCCACGTTTCGTAAGTTTGTCATTTCTGGTCTCGCTTTCAAAATTCTCCGCCTGGGTTTCTCCTTGTCAGTGGTGCAGAAAAGAGAGCCTGACAAGGACAGCTATCTAGTCGTTTTGATGGGACAACAACCAATGCCCTGTGTACTGTGTACACATTGGAGTGCACGTGAAATATCCCTTGGCAGTTTGAATTCGATAGTGCCGCTGCCCTGACAAAATTTCCCTCATAGCACACTGTATGATAGCAGAACAGTAGGATGTTAAATACCATTTCATTTAATTTCTAATCAATGCTAAAAATGAATTTGTTCTGAATTTTAGTGTGTAGACAATATTATGGGAACAGAGCTCAATGGCAAAACATTGTATGCTGGTCGAGCTCAAAAACGTGCTGAAAGGCAGGCTGAGCTCAAGGAGAAATTTGAGCGATTGAAGATGGAGCGAATTAATCGTTATCAAGGAGTGAACTTGTATGTTAAAAATCTGGATGACTGTATCGATGACGAACGACTGAGAAAAGAATTCTCACAATTCGGTACCGTCACTAGTGCCAAGGTAAGAACAAAGTTGATGTTATTTTCAATGTTGTGAACATGCCACCACTCACCCCGTCAATATTTTGACTGTTAAAATTAAGCGACATTCTGTTGTGCAAAACAGTTATTGTCCATGCTCGAATGTCAAGTCTGGAACATTCCGAATTTTCAGAATGGCAGTCAGATTTCTTATACACCCGATTGTCTCTTTTGGGATTCAAAGAATTGAATTCCCAGAATGTTTGAGTATCCCCAATAATTTCTTCATGACCAATTTTGGGACCTGAAATGGTTAACCCCTATGAACTGTACCTATTCAATTGTGTATCATTATGAGGAATTTGTATTTATACATGTTAAAAGGATCCTGCGAATAAACAAATTTCTTTTCCAGGTGATGGGAGATGGAACCAGATCAAAAGGATTTGGATTTGGATTTGTCTGCTTCAGTTCACCAGAAGAAGCAACTAAAGCTGTCACTGAAATGAACGGTAGAATTATTGTTGCCAAACCTCTGTATGTCACACTTGCTCAACGCAAAGAGGATCGAAGAGCTCATCTAGCTTCCCAATACATGCAACGTATTACTACCATGAGACAACAGGTTAGTGTTGGGGGTGGGTACTGTATGTTTTGTCATAAGGTCTGTTATTGTGTCAACAGGTATGGTTTAGATTCCCAGCTTATACATTGCCTGTCCATTCTCACTAGTTTTGTCTGGGTCCTTCGGTTTTCTCCCACTGCTAAATACCCCTACATGCAAGCGAATTATTGAAATAAAATTGAACCATATGTTAGACCTGAAATGAGTCGAGTAGACGTTCACACTCCCATTTCTCTCTACAATTTTGTTTCCCTGTTAACCGCAGATATAAAAGACAAATCCATTTTGTATTATAAAGCCTCCATGGTTGGAGGGAATGGAGGGGGACAATTTGACTTATCTTGCCCTTCCATGTAATGTGCTTGTGAAATTTCATACATTCACCATAAAATTAGTATTCAGACAAGCTAGTCTGACTATTTTAAGGGGGATATTTTTAATCTTAAGCCTTTTGCACATAAGTATTAAGGGAATGTTAATCTCTTAGCAAACTACAATATTGTGAAAATTGTATCTCTCAAAGAAATATTCAAAAATGTTTCTTTTACATTCATTACAAAGATATGAATTGTACCATTTGGTATCCACTGTATAGGATGTGGTCGACACATACCAATGATTTCTACTGAACTTTTTTTTTTATCCAATTGAACCCAATCTCATTAAAACACAGATCCTATTTCGTTTTGTTTTGGGGGGTTGGATGGCCGAATGATTAGCACGTGCGTGCAGTATCAAAAAGCCTGTCATTGAGTCAACTGGTGTGGTTTCGAATCCCCGGTTGTACGTGACAAGGGGTATGGTCGCCTGTCCAACCTCGTGGGTTTTCTCCTGGTCGTCCGGTTTCCTCCCACTGCTAAAGACCCCTATGCGCAAGCTAATTATTGAAATAAAAAAAAATAAACTGTATGTTAGTCCCGAAATGACCTAGTTTGTGTCGAGTGGATGTTAAACCCCATTTCTCTCTCTCTCTCTCTCTCTCTCTCTCTCTCTCTCTCTCTCTCTCTCGTTTTGTTTTTTTATAGTTCAAAATTTTGTTTTATTTGTCTGCACTACACTAAGGATCTGGAAGAGTTGTTATATAATCTGCTTTCTCGATGGTGCAAGGGATTAGCCCATGAATCCATCTGTTACGGCGACTTCCTGGAGTGCGATGCACGGAACTTTAGATATCCCACTAGAAACGTCGACGCTGATAGATTAATCAATGTCTGACGTCATAGGGTTAAAAGCCATTCGCACGACCTCTGACGCGACCTTTTACTACAACCGGTCAGATCTTTGTGTAGTGTAGGCCATCGAAAGTATTAAAAAAACTAAACGTAATGTAGATTTGTATTTTAATAAGATTGAACTCGAGCCGAATAATATCTACCATTGATGTTTGGGTGATTAAATCACTGTTTTGCTTTTCTAATCATAATTTTGGTCATTGAAGGGTTTTTAGGATAATTGATGTGTTCTTTGTGTAAAATTTATTTGTCTTGAGGTAATTTGGTCGGTTATCCAGCTATAATCATCCCTTTCAATTTCAGCAAAATGCTCAGTACAGTCAGATGTTCAAACCAAGTGGAGCCGGTTATTTTGTTCCCCAACTGCCTCAGGCTACTCGTGGATTCTTCACACCAACTCAGATGCCACAAGTTCAAGCTAGTCCAAGATGGCAGGCTCAAGTCAGAGAACCTGTACCAGGAGGAGGTGAGAAATAATATAAATATGAAGATGGTCTTGCGAGCAATTTCAGAATGCATTTCCCCTAAAAAAGCTAGTGATTGAGACACTGACTGACAGTGGGGTTAGAGTTCGATCCCAGTGTTGCAAAAATGAAATAGGGGTTTAACGTCCTGTTCTGCTTCGACTAGACTAATGAAGACTGGCATACGCCATGGATGTGCTATGAGTGAAATTTGGCCCGGGCAGTGGCACTTATATCAAATTACAACTGCCAAGGGATCTTTCGTGTGCATGCCAATGTATACAAAGGACCTTGTTTTTTTGTCCCATCCGCACGACTCCCAGTGTTGCCCAAAAAAGTTATGGAGGATTTTCTATCTTGGTATTTCGTTGTCTGGTGTAGAAAGAATGGCTTGTAAAGGTACAGTGACTAGTCGTTCATATCGTACTAGAAAACAAGGGCCCATCCTGTGTAATGTTACTGGTTGCATAAAAGAACCCTTAGCAGCTAGAATTAAAACTTAATTATCCCCAACTGACTGCTGAAACCTACAGATCATGAAACTTTTGTAATAAAGCTAGCTTCAATGAAATTACCTATCAATTAATTATAAAAACTAAGCCGTCTTGTAATTTGTCCAGGAGAAACAACTACATATAATATACAGTTCCTATGTCAGTTCAGACCACTAAAGAATAGTCCAACACACATTATGGAAATCATTGAATGAAATGTTTTATTTCCCAAATTTTCTTTCAGCAAGCTTCCAAGCTGTTCAAAGCAATCAACTTCGAACAGAGCTCAATGGCAAAACATTGTATGCTGGTCGAGCTCAAAAACGTGCTGAAAGTCAGGCTGAGCTCGAGGAGAAATTTGAGCGATTGAAGATGAAGCGAATTAATCGTTATCAAGGAGTGAACTTGTATGTTAAAAATCTGGATGACTGTATCGATGACGAACGACTGAGAAAAGAATTCTCACAATTCGGTACCATCACTAGTGCCAAGGTAAGAACAAAGTTGATGTTATTTTCAATGTTGTGAACATGCCACCACTCACCCCGTCAATATTTTGACTGTTAAATTAAGCGACATTCTGTTGTGCAAAACACTTATTGTCCATGCTCGAATGTCAAGTCTGGAACATTCCGAATTTTCAGAATGGCAGTCTTGTCAGATTTCTTATACACCCGATTGTCTCTTTTGGGATTCAAAGAATTGAATTCCCAAAATGTTTGAGTATCCCCAATAATTTCTTCATGACCAATTTTTGGACCTGAAATGGTTAACCCCTATGAACTGTACCTATTCAATTGTGTATCATTATTAGGAATTTGTATTTATACATGTTAAAAGGATCCTGCGAATAAACAAATTTCTTTTCCAGGTGATGGGAGATGGAACCAGTTTAAAAGGAGTTGGATTTGTCTGCTTCAGTTCACCAGAAGAAGCAACTAAAGCTGTCACTGAAATGAACGGTAGAATTATTGTTGCCAAACCTCTGTATGTCGCACTTGCTCAACGCAAAGAGGATCGAAGAGCTCATCTAGCTTCCCAATACATGCAACGTATTACTACCACGAGACAACAGGTTAGTGTTGGAGGTGGGTACCGTGTATTTTGTCGTAAGGTCTGTTATTGTGTCATCAGGTATGGTTTAGATTCCCAGCTTATACATTGCCTGTCCATTCTCACTAGTTTTGTCTGGGTCCTTCGGTTTTCTCCCACTGCTAAATACCCCTACATGCAAGCGAATTATTGAAATAAAATTGAACCATATGTTAGACCTGAAATGAGTCGAGTAGACGTTCACACTCCCATTTCTCTCTACAATTTTGTTTCCCTGTTAACCGCAGATATAAAAGACAAATCCATTTTGTATTATAAAGCCTCCATGGTTGGAGGGAATGGAGGGGGGACAATTTGACTTATCTTGCCCTTCCATGTAATGTGCTTGTGAAATTTCATACATTCACCATAAAATTAGTATTCAGACAAGCTAGTTTGACTATTTTAAGGGGGATATTTTTAATCTTAAGCCTTTTGCACATAAGTATTAAGGGAATGTTAATCTCTTAGCAAACTACAATATTGTGAAAATTGTATCTCTCAAAGAAATATTCAAAAATGTTTCTTTTACATTCATTACAAAGATATGAATTGTACCATTTGGTATCCACTGTATAGGATGTGGTCGACACATACCAATGATTTCTACTGAACTTTTTTTTTTATCCAATTGAACCCAATCTCATTAAAACACAGATCCTATTTCGTTTTGTTTTGGGGGGTTGGATGGCCGAATGGTTAGCACGTACGTGCAGTATCATAAAGCCTGTCATTGAGTCAACTGGTGTAGTTTCGAATCCCCGGTTGTACGTGACAAGGGGTATGGTCGCCTGTCCAACCTCGTGGGTTTTCTCCTGGTCGTCCGATTTCCTCCCACTGCTAAAGACCCCTACACGCAAGCTAATTATTGAAATAAAAAAAAAATAAACTGTATGTTAGTCCCGAAATGACCTAGTTTGTGTCGAGTGGATGTTAAACCCCATTTCTCTCTCTCTCTCTCGTTTTGTTTTTTTATAGTTCAAAATTTTGTTTTATTTGTCTGCACTACACTAAGGATCTGGAAGAGTTGTTATATAATCTGCTTTCTCGATGGTGCAAGGGATTAGCCCAATGAATCCATCTGTTACGGCGACTTCCTGGAGTGCGATGCACGAACTTTAGATATCCCACTAGAAACGTCGACACTGATAGATTAATCAATGTCTGACGTCATAGGGTTAAAAGCCATTCGCACGACCTCTGACGCGACCTTTTACTACAACCGGTCAGATCTTTATGTAGTGTAGGCCATCGAAAGTATTAAAAAAACTAAACGTAATGTAGATTTGTATTTTAATAAGATTGAACTCGAGCTGAATAATATCTACCATTGATGTTTGGGTGATTAAATCACTGTTTTGCTTTTCTAATCATAATTTTGGTCATTGAAGGGTTTTTAGGATAATTAATGTGTTCTTTGTGTAAAATTTATTTGTCTTGAGGTAATTTGGTCGGTTATCCAGCTATAATCATCCCTTTCAATTTCAGCAAAATGCTCAGTACAGTCAGATGTTCCAACCAAGTGGAGCCGGTTATTTTGTTCCCCAACTGCCTCAGGCTACTCGTGGATTCTTCACACCAACTCAGATGCCACAAGTTCAAGCTAGTCCAAGATGGCAGGCTCAAGTCAGACAACCTGCACCAGGAGGAGGTGAGAAATAATATAAATATGAAGATGGTCTTGCGAGCAATTTCAGAATGCATTTCCCCTAAAAAAGCTAGTGATTGAGACACTGACTGACAATGGGGTTAGAGTTCGATCCCAGTGTTGCAAAAATGAAATGGGGGTTTAACGTCCTGTTCTGCTTCGACTAGACTAATGAAGACTGGCATACGCCATGCATGTGCTATGAGTGAAATTTGGCCCGGGCAGTGGCACTTATATCAAATTACAACTGCCAAGGGATCTTTCGTGTGCATGCCAATGTATACAAAGGACCTTGTTTTTTCGTCCCATCCGCACGACTCCCAGTGTTGCCCAAAAAAGTTATGGAGGATTTTCTATCTTGGTATTTCGTTGTCTGGTGTAGAAAGAATGGCTTGTAAAGGTACAGTGACTAGTCGTTCGTATCGTACTAGAAAACAAGGGCCCATCCTGTGTAATGTTACTGGTTGCATAAAAGAACCCTTAGCAGCTAGAATTAAAACTTAATTATCCCCAACTGACTGCTGAAACCTACAGATCATGAAACTTTTGTAATAAAGCTAGCTTCAATGAAATTACCTATCAATTAATTATAAAAACTAAGCCGTCTTGTAATTTGTCCAGGGGAAACAACTCCATATAATATACAGTTCCTATGTCAGTTCAGACCACTAAAGAATAGTCCAACACACATTATGGAAATCATTGAATGAAATGTTTTATTTCCCAAATTTTCTTTCAGCAAGCTTCCAAGCTGTTCAAAGCAATCAACTTCGACCAGCTCGCTTCCAGGGTAGTGGACAACAGGGTGTAAGAGCTAACATGAACGCTCGACCTATAACTGGACAAGCTGGTGGTCAGCCAGGTGGACAGAGAATGATGGGTCCAGGTATGCCACGAGGACCCCCAGGGGCTGCCGGTATGGCTGCACCCCAGAGAGGTGCCTTCAAATTCAACAATCAAATCAGAAATCCTCAAATGGGTCAACAGGTCATGTCACAGGTAAGGATCATATTGTTTAAATTTTTTATCTGCGTACACAATTCGTATGGTGAGAAAATTAATCCGGTGACAAAAAATATCATGGCATCTGGCAGTCTTTATTATAATATTTACGTTGTGTGATGTGTGTAACAGTCTTTGCCAGGTGCCTTATGTCTAGGTTTGTGTGTGTGCATATCCAGATTTTCTGACGTGGTTCCCCCTTGTCAGTGATGCAGGTTGAGGGCCTGGTTGTTCAGGTTGGATGAAAAACATTGGTGTGCACGCAAAAGATCCCTTGGCAGTTAGAATTTGATATACGAGTAGGCCGTAGTGCTGCTGTCCAGGCAAAATTTCCCTCATAGTACACTGTATGGCATATGCCTGTCTACATTAGCCCAGTTCGGAGCAGAACAGTAGGACGATAAACCCCCATGTTATTTGACTTTGACACACTGTATTGTGTATGCCCATCTTTATTTACTCAGTAGGTGCAGAAAATTGGACGTTGAACCCCATTTCATACTTTCCCTCCACCCACCCAGTTATAAATATTTGACAAACAGTCATAAATTTATTGCCATTGTATAAAACTTGATGTTCTATTTCAGCCTGCTGCTTCAGTGGTAATTGCTGGTCAGGAACCATTGACCGCCAACATGTTGGCTGCTGCTCCACCACAAGACCAGAAACAGATGTTGGGAGAAAGATTATTCCCTCTGATCAATCGTATGCACCCAGATCTAGCTGGTAAAATCACTGGAATGTTGCTGGAAATTGACAACTCAGAATTGTTGCACATGTTGGAATCCCAGGAATCTCTCAAGGGCAAGGTATGAAATCAAAATTTGCTTTGGAGCAGAGAATATGTTGACAATATAATTGGCATTAAAAAATCTTTTTTTTCGGCATGGTTTCCCCTTGTCAGTGATGCAAGACAGAGGGCTTGATAAGGACAGCTGTTAAGTCGTTCGGATGGGACGAAAAACCAAGGTCCCGTGCACATTGGCCTGCACGTAAAAGATCCCTTGGCAGTTGGAATTCGATATAAGAGTAGGCTGTAGCGCCGCTGCCCGGGCAAAATTTCCCTCATAGCACACTGTATGGCGTATGCCCGTCTTCATTAGCCCAGGTTAGGAGCAGAACAGTAGGACGTTAAACCCCATTTCATTTCATTAAATATCTTATCTGCTAGCTCTTACAACTTTTTTGCGAGGTCAGATGGTTGTTTCCTGTTGGCTGAGAAGAAGCTAGTTTAATTGGGAAGAAAAACCAAGGTCACGTGAACACTGGCGTTTCGTATAAGAACTCTTCAACAGTTACAATTTCACTAAGAGTCTCGACAGAAGCGCAGCAGTACGGCATAACTAAAAGTAGCTGTCTCTAACTCAGTATCATCAAAAGTCTTCGGCATTGAAAACACAAATTATTTGTCTATTTAAATCAACATTGATGTTATCTTACTGGGAAAGGATGGATTTCTGATATCCAATATTTAAGACAAAATAAACATTTACCATTGGTACACGAATCGTGTACCATAATGCGTTTCAGCACCATTGAGACTCTGGTGTATTTCGCCAAACATAATTGATTTAGATATTAGAGTAAAAATGGAAATGATTGACTGTAAATCAGTTTAGGTCCCAAATATTAGTGATTTAGCTCCTTTAACTTAATACATGGAATTTAACTTAAATCCTTGAGTAATTTTGTTATTTGTTTTCAGGTTGAAGAAGCTGTGGCTGGACTCGTGGCTCATCAAGCCAAAGAGAGTGCTACAAAGAAAGGCCCTGAGTAATCTCCCTTGGAAAGGATTTAGCATTGGATCAGTTGTCACCAGATTCACAGAATTTCTTAAAGAGTTTTAAAAGAAACTCCGTTTCACCAACATACCCAAAAAAAATTAAAAATAATTCTGAAAAAAAAAAATAGTTTCACCTGGTTTACAAATCTAAAAAATTAACAAAATTTGTTACTTTAGATGTTTGGTACTTGAAGTTATTTAGAAAAAAAAAACAGTAAAATTTTGGATTATCAATAAAAAAAAATATTTACCAAAGTAACGTAGATTTTCTGAAATTGAAATTAAATTGAAAGTGGACTTTGACAAGCAAAGGAATATTTAATATTGTCAAAACTTCTAGTCAAGTAATTGACTTTTCAAAGCGTTCAGTTTGTGTTGGGCAAGTCAAAGTGTCAGCCTTAATTTCATTTTAGTTTCCGAAAATTAATTTTGGGATGAAGATCAAAATTTAAGAACTATTTAACAAAAAAAAGATGGGACAAATCTACAAAACCAATCTTTTCATGGAAAGATAAAAAATACAAATGATTAAAAAAAACTGCAAAATAATTTTTCAATTTGTAGATACTTGTTTATTTACATTCACTTAAAAAAAAAAAAACGCAAAACAAATTGCCAGTTTGTAGGATATTTTTTTTCTTTAGTTTATTAATGGAGAAATGGTTTACTATTGAGGATTATTTTCTTTTAACTTTTATTTTCTTTGTACATTTTTGAAATTCTTTGGTTAAAAAAACACTGTACATCCAATAAAAGAAGCTGTTCAGATTTTTTTGTTTCCTTTTCAAAGGATTGTAAAAATGTTATATTTTAGTTAATGATTTCATGTTAAGAGATCTTGTGATAGAAATTTTAGGATGAAAATGCATTTTAACAATCGAGTGGCAAATTAAGGAATTCCATCTGGAAAAAAATAATTGATTCAAATTTGATCCCCAAAATGGGTGTGGTTGTGATCAACAGATCCCCAAAATGGGTGTGGTTGTGATCAACAGCATCTTATGAGAATGCACACCGGAGATTAAAACTTTTAAATGTGAATGTTTGTAGTCTACAGGGACACATGAGAATTCATACTGGATAAAAACTCTATAAATGTGTTATCAGACATTTAGTCTTGATTTGAACTTAATGGTCAAGGGGGTGTCTCAGATGTTTTTTTAGTAAATTGTTTTCCTAGAGAAATCAGTCTATGAAAGAAAACAGGGAATTGGGGACGGATAAGTTTCTATGAATTATTTTTATCACAAGGTCTCTTCGAATTCAAATCTGTTTCCATATTATGTGGAAAGTTTCATATTTCTAGTTCCTTTCAACCAGTCTTTAATTTCTCTACAATAAAACTATCATTCTGGATTAAATATATATCTAGTTTGTTGTTATATATCTGCTTGTTTGTAGTCCGTGGGGAGGGGGTGTAACAGTGGCTAAGTCGGGTGTTCGATCCCTGCATTGGCTGAAAAAAGTCCATCCAGATTTTCTGGCATCTGACAAGGACAGCTGTCTAGCCATTCGGATGGCACAAAAAACCAAGGTCCCGTGTACACATTGGTGTGCACGTAAAAGATCCCTTGACAGTTGGAATTCGATATAAGAGTAGGCTGTAGTGCCGCTGTCCAGGCAAAATTTCACTCATAGCACACTGTATGGCGTATGGCCGTCTTCATTAGCAAAATTCGGAGCAGAACAGTAGGACTTTTTTTTACAGTTGAAAATTTTCGTTTTACTTGTCTTTACTATACTAGGATCTAGAAGAGTTGTTACATTGCCTGCGTTCTGGTTTGTGAGGGATTATGCCAATGAATCGTCTGTTGCAGAGTTATTCATGTAGTCGAGGTCATCGAAAGTATAAGAAATAAACGAAATCTGTATTTTAATCAAATTGTATAAGAGTTGGCCGTAGTGCCAGTGTCTGATCAAAGGACTCTGAAAGGGTGGGGAATATAATAGATTAAGTGGAGTCCTCTTTTGAAAAAAGATCTGTCCATTCTTGAATAGCTACCATAATACCCCATAGCATGGATGGTTCGAGACTATATCTTGTCTGCGATATCAATATTGACGACTATAGCCTGAATGGTAAAGTAGGTCGTACCCTTTTTAAATCGCTACCCCTACTGCCGACTATAACCTGAATGGTAAGCGACAATATCTTGTCTGCCATATCACTATTGTGGAAGCACACGTTAACAGATCAGTCCAGTTGTTCAAATCATTTCTCTTGATAAGGACTTGAAAAGACCAGTCGAGTGACCATACGTGTTATGGTTAAGTTTGAACTTATTTATAAGTAAGCAATAATACAAGAATAAATAAAATTATGACATTATTTTGGTTTATGAGGAATATAATAATCGATAGATGTACAAAGAGAAAAGTTAATACATTATACAAGACAAAAGATTTAACAAAACACAACAATTACAATTTCAAGACGAGGTGGGAAATATATCAATAACGGTAATACATTAACATTCAGGATGATATATAATATTTCATATATAAACCAGGGGCCTCTTTCACGAAATTTTAACTAAGATAAAATCCAAATTTTAGTAATTTGATTGGATAATATTAGATTGGTTTTAGTGCTTAACCAATCAAAATTGAAGTACCTACTAAGATTTGGATTTTATCTTAAGTTAAGATTTTGAGAAACATGGCCCAGGACCAGTTGTCCCCGCCTTTCGAAGAAAGGGAACTATTAAAATGGGTCTGTCGGTCACACTTTTTGGGACACAATAACTCTGCTTCTAATTGAGGCAGAATGTTCAAACTTGGTGTAGGCGTTCATTGGGCTAATGCCTTGATGCAGTTTGAATATGAGCATTTTCTGCTTACGGCTAGCAGGGATAAGCAATTTGATTGGTTGATGCTTTGGAACACGATAACTTTAGTTCTAATTAAGTGGGAGTGATGAAATCTGGTTTATAGTTTCATTACATCAATACCTTGACTAAGTTCGATAATTACCATTTAAGTGACGATAAGCAATTTGATTGGTCAAGACTTTGGAACATAACAACCCTGCTTTTAATTGAGGTGGAATGTTTAAACTTGATGTAGATGTTCATTAAGTGAGTTCAATGACTGAGTTCGATGATTAGCATTTCCAATTAAAGCTAGGCAGGAATAAGCAATTTCATTGGTCGATGCATTGGGACAAGATAACTTTGATTTTAACTGATGGAGATTGATGAAACTTAGTGTATAGTTTCACTACCAGGTACTTCAAAACCATGACTGAATTTGATCATTAACATTTTATGCTTAGGCTAAGTACAGATAATTAGTTTGATTAAAGGCAAATATTTAATTAATCCATATGTGTCATCTATTTATTTTGATATTTCGACGGGGGGCACCAGCCTCGCCGTTGGCTTGTTTATACCTCTATCAATAACGGTAACATTCAAGATGATTATGTAATATATAAACCATACGAATAATGTTAATACGTCATGTAACATTCAGGGTGATATACGTAATGTATAAACCAATAGTAGTTTATAACCATACGAATAATGTTAATACGTTATGTAACATTCAAGGTGATATACGTAATGTATAAACCAAAAGTAGTTTATAACCATACGAATAATGTTAATACGTTATGTAACATTCAAGGTGATATACGGAATGTATAAACCAATAGTAGTTTATAACCATATGAATAATGTTAATACGTTATGTAAAATTCAAGGTGATATACGTAATGTATAAACCAATAGTAGTTTATAACCATACGAATAATGTTAATACGTTATGTAACATTGAAGGTGATATACGTAATGTATAAACCAATAGTAGTTTATAACCATACGAATAATGTTAATACGTTATGTAACATTCAAGGTGATATACGTAATGTATAAACCAATAGTAGTTTATAACCATACGAATAATGTTAATACGTTATGTAACATTCAAGGTGATATACGTAATGTATAAACCAATAGTAGTTTATAACCATACGAATAATGTTAATACGTCATGTTACATTCAAGGTGATATACGTAATGTATAAACCAATAGTAGTCTATAAGCATACGAATAATGTTAATACGTCATGTTACATTCAGGGTGATATGTTATGTATAAACCAATAGTAGTTAATAACTATATGCAAACGGTAACATATGATATGTAAGGGGGGAAGGGCGTGGAGGGGGGATAAGTTGTGCCACTGGCCACAAAACACAACGACCGCTCTTTACCTGTGCCACAGACATGAGAAAATACGAGTGAGTTTGTTCGGTCAACACCATTCAACGCTTTAGCGACAGTACACAATAAAAAGATTTCCTGAAATCATATTGATAGCGCCATTTAACCTTTGCATTAAACTCCATTCGACATCTTACTTGACGATGCCTAAAGAAAAATACATTAATGTCCACTGATGGCGTCTAATTTAAGGTTTTAGTCTTATCTTTAACTCACTGTTCAAAAGAGGTAATAATATTCTCAAGGGCGGATCTAGTGGGAAGGGGGGAGGGCGCGAGGTGCATGTCCCGCTATTGGAATAATTATTTTTAAACCAGTTTCTTGTCTCAGATCACAGGAAATGGCATTTCCAGACTTCTAGTTTTCAATATTTTCCGAGGGGGCCACCCGAACACCGCGTTGAGCGCTTCGCGCCTTCGGTGCTCGCAGCGTGCGCGCCCCCGCCTATCCATAGTCTCTGGATCCGCCCTTGATTCTACCCATTCTTATCCCCCAAATCCCACGAATTATAAAAAAATAATTTTCCGATCGACACTCTAGGGACCATTTTTATATTCATTTTTTGGGGACTGGTCTAGACTACTAGCAGTCATTTACATTTAGAGAAATGACTGACAGTCTGGCGAATAGAGAATTTAAGATTGTTCTGGTTGGTATCTTTTATTCAGCCATGAAACAGCATTTTCAACCTGAAAAGGGACATCATTATTAAAGTCGGTACGATAAAAAAACATAATCTCGATTATCCATTTTTTGATTTAATCATTAATGAGCTTTGAACAGCAGATCAGATTCAAATCCAGTCAAAATCCGACACATAAGATGGCATCAGGAGTTGATTATGGTCTTTTCGTGTTAATAAATGTCTAATTAATAGTTTATATAACATTTCAGGCCTAAAGAAAGACCTGCATAATGTATGTTTAAGTTTATTTTAGCCCCAACTGGTTCCGCAATTTTCTCGGGACGGTTTGACTTTGTATCGGGTTTGATTTGGTGCCTCTTTCGCCCCATCCGAGCGACTAGACACCGTCCTTACCAGGCTAAGCGCCCTGCACCTCTGACAATGGGAAGACGCCTCGAAAAGATTATTTTAGCCCCAGCTGGTTCCGAAATATTATCGGGACGGTTTGACCCGTTATCGGGTTTGACTTCGTGTTTTTTTCTAGTTACAACTAAAATGGTGAAATGAAATGGGGTTTAACGTCCTACTTTTCTGCACCAACTGGGCTAATCAAGACGGACTTACACTAAAGTCTACTCTTATTTCGAATTCCAAACGTCACAGTGTAGTGTCATTCAAACTTCATGTGGGTGGTGTCGTCACTTCATTTGCGTAAGGGGAGTTCTTTTACATGCACGTCAATCTGTACACGGGACCGCGGGGTATTCGTCCCATCCTAGGGACTAGACACTGTACTGCACCACTGACAATCGGACACCGCGCCGAAAAACCCCGAGGAACTTTCTCGGCCAACGCCAGGAGCAAAACCGAGACCACCCGTTTAACGAGCAACTAACATTGTTGACATGCATAATATACAATGCATATAAAAGTATATAAATTAAAACTGTAAAAGATGAAAAAAAAGAGATACAAACTAATAATTAACATAAATAACATTTACTTGGAATAATATCATTAAAAACTGATAAAAATAAATCGGTTTCTTTTTTCTAACGTGATTTAAAATTAAAGTATCCCTCTATTCCTTTGAAATGAAATTGGGTTTTACGTCCTACTGTTCTGCTCCAAACTGGGCTAATGAAGACGAGCATACGCCATACAGTGTGCTATGAGGGAAATTTTGCCCGGACAGCGGCACTACGGCCTACTCTTATATCGAATTCCAACTGTCAAGGGATCTTTTACGTGCAAGTCAATATGTACTTGGGACCTCGGATTTTTGTACCATTCGAACGACTAGACACCTGTCCTTGTCAGGCCCTCCGTCCTGCATCACTGACAAGGGGAAAACAGCGCCAGATAATCTGGATGAACTTTCTCGACCAATGCAGAGATCGAACGCCCGACCTCCAGGCTAGCGAGCCAGCGTCTTAGCCACCGTGATCCGCCCTATTCCTTTGAACCTAAAACGGACGCAAAAGGGCCAAAAAGCACAGTCATATCTACGGAATATTATTGTATATAAATTGATTTACATTTTTTTTTTAATAGTTTTATTGTCATTTCTAATCAGTTATGTTTGTCGAAATACGCGAGCAGTCCAAATTGAATGATGGCCGTTTGTGTCTGGTTAGTCCAGTCAACAAAGGGAGTCGGGTTTGACCATAGTCATAGAACTGTATACGAAATATGGATTGAGGTTTTACTTACGCACTGACGTTTTGCCACGTTAACCACGGCACCTCATTACAAATGGCGCTCGCGCGCGTTAAGATAACAACATCAATATTGATCGAAATGGACCAATAAATCGTGTTTGTAATCCTAATATTGAAGATAATGCTTAGTTAGATCTAACGCCCTTAAAACAAATGTCGTTCATACCTCGTCTCTGAGATCCCCTGGAGAATCCAACATATCTAATAATTCAGACTTATCAATTTCCAGCAACATGTCTGTGATTCTACCAGCTAGTTTAGGGTACATGTCATTGATCAGAGGAAACAATCTATTGCCCAACATCTGTCGTTGTTTTGTAGGGGAGGCAACATCGAACGCGACGGCTTCTGAAAAAGTGAGCCAAGCTTTATTTATTATACTGCTTGGCTTGCATTCACCAAATTAAGTCAAGTCACCGATATTACTGCTAATGAAAAGATGTTTTGATTCCATGCAATTTGAGAGAGAGAGAGAGAGAGAGAGAGAGAGAGAGAGAGAGCGGGGGGGGGGGGGGGTAACGTCCGCTAGACATAAACTAGGTCATTTCGGGACTAACATGGTTAAATCATATCTTAATAATTTGCTAGCGCGTAGGGTTCTTTAGCAGTGGGAGTAAACCCACAAAGTTGGACAGGCGACCAACCGGAGAATCGAAACCATGCAAGCTGACTCAATGGCAGACTTTATGATACAACGCGCACGAGCTAACCAATCACCTCCACCCCCCACCCTCCACCCCGAATAAAATGAAGTGGGGTTTGATGTCCAAATTTTGTGCACCAAGCAAACTACTGTTAGAAGGTTAGATTACAATGCAAGGGGGTCATGGTGGCTCAGCGAGTGAGGCACTGGGTCGCTAATCTGAAGATCAGAGGTTTGGTCCAGGTCTTGGCAGAGAAATTCCCAGGGTTTTTCGAGCGTGGTTTACACCGTCTAGTCGTTCGGATGAGACAAAGTTACGTTGGTGTACACGTTGGTGTAAACGTAAAAGAACTCTTGACAGGTGGAATTCAAAAGTAGTCCGTTAGTTGATAACACACTGCATGTCGCATACCCGTCTCCATTAGCCTGACTGGTTCAGAATAGTAGGACGTTAAACCCCATTTCATTTCCCAAATCAGTACGGGGGTTGGATGGCCGAATGGTTATCACGCGCGCGCTTTATCATACGGTCTGTCATTGAGTCAACTGGCGGGGTTTCGATTCCCCAGTTGTACGTGACAAGGATTAGGGTCGCCTGTCCAACCTCGTGGGTTTTCTCCGGGTCCTCCGGTTTCCTCCCTCTGCTAAAGACCCCTACGCGCAAGCGAATTATTGAAATAAAATTGAACCATGTGTTAGTCCCGAAATGACCTAGTTTGTGTCGAGTGGACGTTAAACCCCATTTCTCTCTCTCTCTCTAAATCAGTACACGAAATTGTAATCTAATTTTGAATAGATAACAGTTCATAGTAAAATAAGCCTATATCATTTCTCACCTCGCCAAGGTGTAGGTTCACGGACTACAGTCTTCCATCTTGGAATAACCTTAACTTGTGGCATCTGAGTTGGTGTGAAGAATCCACGAGTAGCCTGAGGCAGTTGGGGAACAAAATAACCGGCTCCACTTGGTTGGAACATCTGACTGTACTGAGCACTTTGCTGTAAAACAAACCAAACAATAATACAATAGGTCTAATATATATAGCGTTCTATTTTCGTGTATTAAAGGACTTAACGGATCTAATGAAATGAAATGAAATGAAATAGGGTTTAACTTCCTACTGTTCTGCTCCTAACCTGGGCTAATGAAGACGGGCATACGCCATACAGTGTGTTATGAGGGAAATTTTGCCTGGGCAGCGGCGCTACGACCTACTCTTATATCGAATTTCAACTGCCAAGGGATCATTTACGTGCACGCCAATGTGTACACGGGTCCTCGGTTTTTCGTCCCATCCGAACGACTAGACAGCTGTCCTTGTCAAGCCCTCCATCACTGACAAGGGGAAACCACGCCAGACAATCTGAATGAACTTTCTCGGCCAATGCAGGGATCGAACACCCGACCTCCAGACCAGCGAGCCAGCGTCTTACCCACTTAGTCACGTGATCCCCCTACAGAATCTAAACCTCTTAATCAATATTTTTCATACTATTTGAAATGAATAGCACGAATTAGAAGTCAATATGTTTTCATTTCAATCAATATTGGTGTTGTTATTTTGCCGTGAAAATAGACACATTGAACATTTTAAAGTAAGTAACCGAGTCGTGTACTCTATGGTTTCGGGGGCCATTTTTAATGAACAAAGCAAACATATCCCACAACAAAATGAGGAAGTAATTAAACATACATTATGCAAGAGCTAAATCTGTCTATTGCAGGTCTTTCTTTAGGCCTGAAATGTTATCTAAATTATTAATTAGACATTAATTAACTTATCCAGACCATAATCAACTCTAGATGGCATCGCTAGCCTGCGATCTTAAGTGGATTGTGAGCCGATTTACTGCATAACTTTTCTTCTCGATTTAACGATTAAATGGATAATCGAGACTATCCTGTTTATCGTACTGACATTAGTAATGATGACCGAGGCTAGGCAAAAATTTCATTCGCTTAGTTCTCGGTTCATAGTGGATCAATTTGAATGAAATTTTCAGCAAATTGCCTTTACGTTATCTAGTGTTTAACTATTATAGTGAGAACTGCCAACTCGTTATCGAATCTCCCATAATGTATCTTTAATAATGACTGATTCACAAACGATAAAATAATAATAAAATATCATGTAGAATGGACTAAGCAGGCGTAAACGATTGACCTTCAATTTGGATAGTTGACGTGTTTCACCGAACAATATTTGCTTTAAAAAAATTGAATACATTCGTATTACATTAATATTATGCTTTTAGGTCCATTCTTTGAATGACATTTAGAAATCTGAATAATAATATAACACAAGGTACAATTTTATGGATACACAATTACTGAGTTTAATACTAAGTGACGTTTTGTCGAGGATACATTCCTGAATGTTCATTCGAGTATTCCCATAGTTTGTAAATTCACTAACCTGTTGTCTCATGGTAGTAATACGTTGCGTGTATTGAGAAGCTAAATGAACCCTACGTTCCTCTTTACGTTGAGCAAGAGCAACATACAGAGGTCTGTCGTAAACAATTCTACCATTCATTTCAGTGACAGCTTTAGTTGCTTCTTCTGGTGAACTGAAGCAGACGAATCCAAATCCTTTTGACTTGATTCCATCTCTCATCACCTGGAAAAGAAATGTTAAAAAGCTCCATATACCCAACCTGGATATATTAAATTAGGGCAACTCCAATATATGATCCTTTACAATATCTGTTAATTCTAACAACACCCCCTGTCGCCATTAGCCCCGCCGGGGCATAACAATAGGACGTTAAACCCCATTTCATTTAATTTATGATAATTATAACACCGAAAATACACAACTATGTTAATTATAACACCACTCCCCGTCTCCATTAGCCCATCAGCGGTAGAACAGTAGGACGTTAAACCCCATTTCATTTATAACATCACTATACCGACAATACACAACTATGTTAATTATAACATCACTATACCGACAATACACAACTATGTTTATTATAACACCTAAAATACACAACTATGTTAATTATAACATTACTATACCGACAATACGCAACTTTAATTAAGATCTCACTATACAGACAACAGACAACTTAGTTAATTATAACATCACTATACCGACATAACACTAACGTTAATTATAGCATCACTATATTGACAACAGATAACTATGTTAATTATAACATCACTATACCGACAATACAACAGCTATGTTAATCATAACACCGAAAATACACAACTTGCTCTTGAAAAATGTGGGCGTATCTTGCATGGCAACTGTAGTAAATTATATTTACACATTAAACTAAACTTCAATGCTTACCTTGGCACTAGTGATGGTACCAAAGTCTGAGAATTCTTTTCTCAGTTGTTCATCATCTATACGGCCATCCAGATTTTTAACATACAAGTTCACTCTTTGGTAACCATTAACTCCTTCTCTCATCGAGAGCTCAAACTTCTCCTTTAACTCGACCCGTCGTTCAGCACGTTTTTGAGCTGGAGAAGCATACAGTATCTTACCATTGAGCTCAGATCCCATAATGTGGTCTACACACTAAATTTCAGAAATATCGTATTTTCAGCACTGATTAGAAGGTAATAGAGGTGGGGAATTTAGTGTTTGCAACGGGGGTGGGATAAATTGATTTTAAAAGGGGGTTGGTTTGGGTGGGGTTGTGGAGTGATTCAGGGAGTGCATATAGGGAGTGCATATATATTTGTGCCAAACACAAGATAATGAAGATGATCGAGGTCAGTTATTTGGGGTGTATGGAAACAATTTTAGTTTGACGGCTGAGGCATATCCTCGCAGCCATCCTTATATATGCCATGGGGAGGGGGGGGGGGGGTAAACATATTTCAATTATATGTACAACTGGGTAAAGTGTCAGGACGGATGTAATATAACAAGATGACCCAGACATGTTGTATGCTGGATATTTGCTATTAAAATCTATAACAACCTTGTATTCAAACTTCGTTATTAACATCATAAACAACAATTCAATTCTGGCTGTCGATCTATAGAATATGGGGGGGGGGGGGGCGAATGGTTTGCGCGTGCGCACTGTATCGCAAGGTCTGTCATTAAGTCAACTGGCGTGGTTTCGATTCCTCTGTTGTACGCGACAAGGAGTAGGGTCGCTTGTTTAAACTCGTGAGGTTTCTCCGGGTCCTATGATTTCCCTCCACTGCTAAAGACCCATACGCTTAAGCGAATTGTTGAAATAAAATTAAACCATATGTTAGTCCCGAAATGACCTATTTTGTGTCGAGTGGGCGTTAAACCCCATAGTTATTTCTCTCTTTCTTACTATATCAGGGAATAAAAGAGCAAGCAGAAATGAGGGAGATATTTTGAAGCTGGATTTCGGTCAGCCAGTACGGGCGGACGGATTGAGAGGGGGCTATTTTTTAGCGATTCTATAGATGTTGTTGTTTATTATAAATTTAATGTCCAATACATTATGGACAGGATATGCTTATATATGCTTTTGTGATGTATTCTGCTATATTAAGACGTATTTAAAGCTACACGGTTTTCCTGAGTTTTTAATATCAAAAGAACACACCGTGAAGTCATATTAGACTGTTTAGTGAAGTCCACATTAAAACACAACGTGATGTCCATTATTTGAGAGTTGCAACAGGACAGTGTTACATATTTGATCAGTCGTATTACAAATCCGGTTTGGATGTGTTTCAAACTATCGTTCTTCATATTATATAACAATAAGGCCATATACGTACGTTTTCTGCATCCTCTGGATCTTCAAAACAAACAAAACCGAAGCCTCGTGATATATTCTGTTGATCTGTCATCACCTAGTAAATGTTTAAAAAACAAATGATAAAAACAAGTCGTTATAACGTGTTGGACCTAGGAGAGGATTCTTCTTATTTTGTGGCTCTTGCACCAGTGAAGATGTGTTCAATATTGGCAAATCTTGTCTGGCCTATTTTTATTTCCTGTTACAATTGTAGTTGGTGTGTGTTGATCTTTCAGCTGCTACTAATTGTAATGGGTGTGGTAGTGTTTGGTGGGTGGGGGATGTCTTTCACCTGCTGCCAATTATAGTGGGTGTGGGGGTGGGGGGCATCTTGTACCTGCTGCCAGTTGAGTTTCCATCCGGCAATAACAACTAGACGCCATTCATTGTCCCCGTCCTGCACAAGCAAGGGGAGACTGGACAATCTGGACAATCTCGAGGAATTGTCTCGACCAACACCGGAAACGAACGGTGGATCGCGTGATCATCAGTGCCATTCTCACCGACCGACTATGGCTCCCCGAATTTGGCAGACTTGTGAACCTAAAAACAATGATACTAAGAATTCGAAGAACCAGTGAGTCATTTTCTGTAAACATTATTCACTAGAAACATTTTGCACCTTTGCACTGATGACTTTTGCACCGGCGGGTCCAGCGACTATGGATAGGCGGAGAGCACCGACGGTCCGTAGTTGAGGCGACCTCGACACAAGCATGGGGATCGTGATCGTGCTTACTTGCGCAAACCGAGTCCAGACGCAACAAGACCTACTGGTTCAAATCGAAGCTGTAATTGTACATTACGATATCTGCGTGCCCCCCCCCCCACCCCCCCACACACACCAACACTAGACCCACCCTTGTTTTTGAACCTAATGATTTACAGGGCGCCATAATATCACCCAGGTGTAATCTTGCCAAATGTCAAGCCACATAGCCCCGCCCTTCATTTTCTTTACAAGGATATGTAGGAAAAGGAAAGACATTTCGTGAGCTGTAGGTTAGTTGGGTTTCATCATAAAAATTATGCTGTAAGGCTTCACATTTATTTTAATGGGAATTAGTTTATTATAAGCATAGGCGTACGGGATCGATGATCGATGAACATGGGGGGGAGGGGGGAGGGGGGGCAGAATTACAGACACACACACACACACCCCAAAAAAAGAGAGGATAATTTGGAAAGTTTGAAGACCACAAACACGTTTTCCTGGCGCGAATCGGGATAGTTATAACCTAGCGTTAAGACGGTTGGATTAACATCTATTTCTATGTAACTATTTTAACACCTCACTGGTTTGTACGAATAGCATGAATAGTCAGACTTTTTATGCTCCTTAACGCCGCCACATGTGTAAAAATAAAATAGATATTTGAGTAACATCCGTGTTGAATAAGTGTGTCAATAATAATATATAATATAAATAAGACGGTGTTTGAAATTGTATACTATGTATAACATCAACGATAAATAAATTCATTATTTATACATTTGGATTACGACGTGACTTTTAAATTTTTTAATAACCAGAAGCCTTTTAGGAAGGGTGTTTCACGTTTCACCGGTGTCCTATTACCAAGACAAATCTAGAAATATCAGATAAATTTATACATAAAATGGTCCCGTGATGCATAGGCGTACGAGCTCGATGAATGAAAATTTAACTGCCGCAAACGCGTTTTCCTGCTTTTCCAGCCTGTGAATACAGTAACTTCAATGTGGTCCAATATAGCCTACCTTTGGTCACTTACCCGAACAACCAATCAATCCTCGCGGGGTATGGGGAGAACATTTTGAAAATTTAACCGCCGCAAATGTGTTTTTCTCCTATTCTAGCCCGTGGATTATACAACTTTAAAGTTTCCAGTCGAGTTGCAACCGAAATCTCACTCTATGCCGACTCGAATTCCAACCATCCAATCAAAATGTTGCAGCAGCATTCACAAATATTAATCGATGCCCGAAAAATGTCGCACAAAGTAGAGTGGCTTCAGACAAAATGCTTATTTTGATCTACTGTATACTCAGTACAAATTCGTGGAATTCAATTAAAAGAAAAAGAAAATTAGTGTTTTCTTAGATTTCGGGCACTTTATTTTGCCAACTATATGAAATAATAATTTTTGTTTTCACTTTACCCGTTTGCCCAAAAAGTCAGACTACCCGAAACTTGCCACCCCTGGCTCGTACCCTATGATTATATGTTAAGCTATGTGCAGTCCAGCTCGGGGTATGTTTATTTGGAAATTAAGGGAGTTACAGGCCAGTATTTTTTTGTAATGAAATGAAATGGGGTTTAACGTCCTACATTTCTGTTCCGACTGGGCTAATGACGTCACTATGACCTACTCTTATATTGAATTCCAACTGCCAAGGGATCTTTTACGTGCATGCCAATGTATACACGGGGCCTCGGTTTATCGTCCCATTCGAACGACCAGACAGCTTTCCTTGTCAGGCCCTTCCGTCCTGCACCACTGACAAGAGAAAACCACGTCGCAAAATCCCGATGACCTTTCCAGGCCAATGCAAGGATCAAACACGCGACCTCCAGGCCAGCGAGTCAGCGTCTTAACCTCTCTTAGCCACCGTGGCCCCCTGTAATCAAATGATTACACAACTTGCTCAAAGGAAGACCTTAAAACGATCCACTACCGTGGCTGGACCAAGACGGAAGACATCAGTAGTGGAACCATTTCTACAGTGAGTAAAGTTTAAGTCATTTTCTGTAAACATTATGTTATACTAGAAGAATGCCCGGTTTCGCTCGGGGGTCATAACCCCGAAACCGGAAGTGGTAGACTAACGCCACCTGGCCTATGTTACTCCCCGGTCCGAGCTACCCCTATAGCCCTAATTTCAGACTCGGGGCAGACCTAGTGTAGCCGCCAACCCCGAACAGACTTCGCTCGGGGGTCATAACTCCGAAACCGGAAGTGGTAGACTAACGCCACCTGGCCTATGTTACTTCCCGGTCCGAGCTACCCCCATACCCCAAATTTCAGAGTCGGGGCAGACCTTGTGTAGCCGCCAACCCCGAACAGACCGGCTTCGCTCGGGGGTCATAACTCCGAAACCGGAAGTGGTAGACTAACGCCACCTGGCCTATGTTACTCCCCGGTCCGAGCTTCCCCTATATCCCAAATTTCAGACTCGGGGCAGATGTAGCCGCCAACCCCGAACAGACTTCGCTCGGGGGTCATAACTCCGAAACCGGAAGTGGTAGACTAACGCCACCTGGCCTATGTTACTTCCCGGTCCGAGCTACCCCCATACCCCAAATTTCAGAGTCGGGGCAGACCTTGTGTAGCCGCCAACCCCGAACAGACCGGCTTCGCTCGGGGGTCATAACTCCGAAACCGGAAGTGGTAGACTAACGCCACCTGGCCTATGTTACTCCCCGGTCCGAGCTTCCCCTATATCCCAAATTTCAGACTCGGGGCAGATGTAGCCGCCAACACCGAACATACAGACTTCGCTCGGGGTTCATAACTCCGAAACCGGAAGTGGTAGACTAACGCCACCTGGCCTATGTTACTCCCCGGTCCGAGCTACCCCTATACCCCAAATTTCAGACTCGGGGCAGACCTAGTGTAGCCGCCAACCCCGAACAGACCGGCTTCGCTCGGGGGTCATAACTACGAAACCGGAAGTGGTAGACTAACGCCACCTGGCCTATGTTACTCCCCAGTCCGAGCTACCCCTATAACCCAAATTTCAGACTCGGGGCAGACCTAGTGTAGCCGCCAACCCCGAACAGACAGACAGACAGACAAACGACAGTCACAAATATATATATAGATAGATTGAAGATAGATAAACATTTTTCACCTTTGCGCTAACGACCTTTCCAAATTTTTCCATCTCTACTTTCAGTTTGTCATCATCATACTCATTGCCGAAGTTTTTGATGTATACATTGTTGTATTTTTTAGGCCTGTCACTCATCATTGCTAAACGCTCAGACTGGGGTATGAATTTTCCAACATATACTTTCTTGTCCTTTAACACCGTACCATTGACTTTCTCAATAGCCTGTTTAGCCGCTTCTTCGGTTTTGAATTGTATATATCCATGACCCTTGGAGCCTTGTTCATCAGCGGCAACCTAAAGAAATCAGTCAAAATTATTCATATTAATTTATTTATATAAAACCAAACAAAATTCAGAGGCAGTTCAGGCCATAAGTAAATATTGGCGGGAATGATCTTTATGAATGTAGACAAGGTGTGCAAATAAGCAGATGACCATAGGCATGGGCTCGAAGTGTTGAACGAAAATGCATAGTGGTTCAGTGAGTATTACGCTGGTTAACTAGAAATGAAATGAAATCGGGTTTAACTTCCTACTGTTCTGCTCCGAACTGGGCTAATGAAGGCGGGCATACGCCATACAGTGTGCGATGAGGGAATCCTCGGCAATCTGGAGAACATAGTAAAACCCATGTATACATCAGAAACGAAATGAATGGGGTTTAACGTCCGACTGGGCTAACGACGAAGGACATACAACATACATTGTGCTATCAAAGAAATTTTGCCCGGCAACGGCGCTACACCTACACCTCTATCGATTTCAAACTGACAATGGTTCTTTACGGATACGCCACTATGTACACGGGACCACGGCTGTTCGTCCCATCCGAAAGACTATACATTGACCCTGCACCTCTGTCCTGCACCACTGACAAGGGTAAAATCGCTCCCAATCGGACTGTGTAGGGAATATGTCCATCTTTATTAGCCCATTCGGAGCAGAGTATAGGATTTTATATAAGAACATTATAATAATAAAATGATTAACATTGCCAGTAGTTACATCATTTCTAAGCCCAAGGGTTATTTGGAAAGGCGCTCAACTGTTTAAAAGATACAAATATTTAGTTCACATTTTAGTTGGGTTTTTTATATTCGATAGTCTAACGGATGCGATAATTGTTTTTAATCTTATTAAATAATTTCTGGACAAAAATAAACTTTATATCTAAATTCAGTCGGATTTTCGAAAAGCGCTTGAATAATATCTTTGAATTTCTAATCGTAAAATCAGCAATCGATGTGACCACTTGTTACCATAGTTACGTTTAAGGGATGTTCATGTTGATGTATTTATCCAAACATAGATCCTATTTCGTTTCGCTTTTTATAGTTCAAAATTTCGTTTTACTTGTCTTTACTACATTAGGATCTGGAAGAGTTGTTATATAACCCGCGTTCTGGATGATGTGAGGAATTATCAAATGAGTTGCCGCACGATGCACGGAACTGTGGGTATCCTACTAGAAACATCAACGCTGGTTGGTTAATCAAATGTCTGACGTCATAGGGTCAAAAGCCTCTCGTACGACCCTTTGCGCGACCACTCACTACAACTGGTCAGTTCTTCATGTAGTAGAGGCCACCGAAAAAATAAAAAACGAAACGAAATATAGATATGTACTTTAATCAGATTGCCTATTACCTTGCAAGAAAGGATGTCACCAAAAGGAGAAAACACATCATACAGAAATTGGTTGTCGATACCCTTATCCAGATTTTTAATAAAGACATTTGTATCTTCCCCGTCTTCAGTTGTCCGTTGAGCCCACGAAATACGAATTGATCTTCCATTCATGATATCGTGATTCATGGTGGACATTGCTCGCTTTGCTGGAAGGTGAAGATTGTAAAAATAACTGGGTGGTTGTCAATTCATGAAGCTTATAAAATCGATAAAACGAAAGTTAAGCTAATAAAAATAATCACTCCTTTGGTAGATTTATTTTGTGTGTTTAATAGGACGACCACTCCTTTGGTAAATTTATTTTGTGTGACGACCTCTTTGCTCTATTTCTTTTGTGTGATAGATAAAATGACCCCACCCCCCTCTTTGGTAGATTTATTTTGTGTGATAACCATTGTGGTCTTAATCCACAAGTTATCCACAAGTTATCTCCCTGTTGTCATTACAACTTCCGGTAAGATTTCCAAGAAAACACCCCCGTGTTAAAAATGTAAACAAAACAAAAAGGACACAGGGTACATATTTATGCCAGTGAAAATACCAGTTTTATTATGTCTGGTGAATTTCGTGTCCATTTATAGGTGTATTTCTCAAAATTTGTAAATACGACTGTATTATAGTGTAGAAAAGAAAGGATTTGAACAAGATTAAACTATATATTACGTCTTGAAATCTCGGTTTTCTCTCTCGAATAACCTATTTACTCTATATATTTCGTGTGATAGATTGAATGACTACCTCCTTGGTTGATTTATTTTGTCTTACTGGTAGAATGGTCATCTCTTGGCTAATGGTTTTCTCATCTTCATTAGTTTTCTGAGAATGCCAACAAAAATGTGTAGATAACGCACACAAAAATTCAATCTCCACTTACCATCCGCAGGTTGAGAGAAGTTAAGGTATGCATAACCCAATGATCGCTTCGTAATCCCCTCTCGACACACATGAATGGATGCCACTGGTCCTGCTGTTGAAAACTTGGAAAATAACATGGCTTCGGAAACATCTGGATGTAAATCACCAACGCGTAGTGTAGCCGCATTGTAGTTAGTTCCTGTTGGATTCATTTGTATGATTGTCGTTGTCGCCAATTAGCAAAATTAACCTTCCTAAAGTATGAGCGTTGTATTCAGTTTCCTGGTGTTCTTTCGATCTGTTTTCGGGTCGCCAATAAATGATATTAAATGGTACTTTCCGTTGGTAAAATTCAGTTTTAATACCACAAATAAAACATTCCAATGTCCATATTAAACTTATATCTGTTAATGTCATCAGACTAACCCGTATCATAATATTTACTATATTCAAGACCGTTATATCGCTTCAGTAAGAATTTAAAATCCGGGTTGACGGGTATAATGAATACGAAAGCAAAACTGTATAACACGTAGTCTTCATCGTCCAGACTCAAATATCACCGTAGAAGGAATGATGACAACGTGTGGATTGGTCGATCTATATATTACTAGTTTCTCTTTCATAGAAAAGAAAACGGGGAATACCAAGCCAGGCTTCTACGAAAGCCCATTAGACACAGTGGAAATCAAAGGTGGGGCGAACAAAGTCAGCTTAAAAAAACACAGTCATGTTCTTCGAGAGGACAATTTTTTCTTAGCTGGCTTAATCGAATATCCAACCAGGTTTCTACAAAATCCCATTAGACGCAGTAAGAAAAAGGATTTTGTCGACTCAAAGATGGTCCGTAGCCAGCTCTTAAAATTTGGTGGGGCTACGGAATTTTTTGCCCCCCCCCCCCTGTGGCTACGGGCCCTCATTTATTTGTTAAATCTTGGCTTTGTTTACGTGTCTGCTGTGTGTGTGTGTGGGGGGGGGGGGGGGTAAGGGTGTGTGTGTGAGAGAGAGAAAGGGAGAGGGAGTAACATTTGCGTGTCAGGATCTTAAGCTGTGGGTGAAAACCGGAGGGTCATCCTCCTTGTCACGTAAGTGCGGGGAATCAAACCACATGCACCGAGGCAACTTTTAGTGGATTGCTCATTGTCTTTAGAAATTTTAATGTCATGAGGAGTGAGAGAGGGAGAGAGAGGCGGGGTTTATCGTCCATCAGGGCCGTAACTAGCTCAGAGCAACGAGAGGGCGGGAAGTGTTCTCAGGGGGTAGCGAACCTTTTTGTAGGCCGTAGGGGGGGGGGGGCTGTCGTCCATTTGACACAAACTAGATCATTTCGGGTCTAACATAATGGATCGATTCGCTTATGCGTAGGGCAGTGGGAGGGAGGAAGCGGGATGACCCGGAGAAAACCCACGACGTAAGACAGGTGACTCTACTTCTTGTCACGTTCAAGCGGGGAAACTACGCAACATGACTCAATGACAGACCTTGTGATTTCCCGTGCACGCCTCAAACCACTAGTCCACAAAACCCCCTATAATTAATATGAAAAAACATGTTGTGTGAGACTATTTATGTGTACCGATTGGCTTTATCTGCGTGACCTTATTTTCAATTGACCTTTGACCTGTATACTTACTCTATGATTTCATATCTTATTATATTCAATAACACTTACAGCTGCTAGGGTACGTCACCTAAACATATATAAACAAATCAGTAGCTGTTTTTATCGAACATAAAGCTGTTGTATGGATAGACATATCAGTCGAAATAGTTAATATTGTTTTACAAGATTTTGAGAATATGCCGGTTGTAGTGTGCCATGAAATTAGATCTAAAGCGATTGCGCGTGTCCAAAATAACTTATTATAATATTAGATCGCCTCATGTCAAGCGAGCTGAGTTATCATGATTCAGTGAGTAAGGCACTGACTAATTAACCCGAACGTCGCGTGTTCGATCCTGGTGTTGGCCCAGAAGGATCCACCGGACGGGGACGGAATGACTGGCAGGGGATATGGCCCAGTCACGCCTATGAGCCAAAAGACCGTTGGCACATAAGTAAAAGAGCCCATGCCAACTGGAAGGCCGTAACGCCTTGTCACCCTCCCCAATACGAAACTCACTGCGCCCAAACTACAATAGATTCGAAATAATAATAGATTCGCTACCCAGATTGGCTATTTAAAGATTCATTATGAAAGAGCTAAATCTACCTATTGGGGGTCTTTCGTTCGGCTTCAAATTTTTATTTAGACATTTATTAACATGACAAACCTATAATCAACTATCTAGACAATCTGATGGCCGATATTTAAATGGATTTAACGATAAAATGGACAATCGAGGATAAGCCTCGGTTAGCAAGTAACGTTGCTACGACAATGAATTAACGTACGCTATAACTTCAAACAGTCATTACTTCGATTAGAATAAAGTAATCTGAATGAAATTTCAATAAAATCACTTTTCATTATCTATTTTTGAACTATTATAGCAAACGCATCTCTATATATTAATCTTACGTAGTGCATCTTTAACATTTAATTAATGTTAAAGAGAGAGGGAGGGGAGAGAGGGGGTCTGTACCGTCCACCAGAGAGAGAGAGAGAGAGGGGGAGAAGGGGGTACCGTCCACCCGACACAAACTAGGTCATTTCGGGACTAACACATGGTTCAATTTTATTTCAATAATTCGCTTGCGCGTAGGGGTCTTTAGCAGTGGGACAGGCGACCCTACTCCTTGTCACGTACAAACGGGGAATCCATTTAATTAAGATAACATAATCAAAATATCAACGGTAGGACTACATAGCGAGCAGCATAGATCGATACCATTTCAATTCAACACAACCTTGTAAATACTGAACGGAATTCAACCATTTTGGGGAAATTTTCCTATTAGAGATTTATCTTTAACAAAATTGTAGTTTGCAAGGGAATTCTAAATGACCTATTGAGACTTTAAATTGCATACCCAATCTTAGCAACTCTATCAAAGGGCTAATTAGCCTCTCCCCGAGAATTCCTTGTTTTGGGTGGGGGTGGGGGGAGGGGATTAGGATTAGGGTGGAATGGGGCCTATGTATTTTGTTGGTGTGTTTGTTTTATGAGGTGAATGGGGTTGGATGATGGATAATTATACTTTTTAACTTAAAAAACGTATGATTTCCTAAACAGATTAAATTTTTAATTAAAATTGACAAATCAATCTTTTAGACAAGTGCAATAACTTATACACCAAAATATTAATTTTCGCCCTGGCCTAAGAGTTGACGTCATCTATCTCATGACTTTTCCTGTGACCTACAATTTGTTATTGACATTATTTACAAGCCTTTAACTCGCCCTTATTATATATCAATAAATACAAGTCATAAACACTTATAACAGATCTTTATTAGCATTACACATTATACGTCAGAGAAATCAGTACACATAACTAGTGATCTTTTGTGTAACGTGTGGAAAACGTCATGAATATGGGTGTACAAAGCACAAGTTTTGTTATACCTTCGACTGTGCTATAGAAATTGTATCTAAAAGCCTTTTGTTATTCAGTTGTATTGGAATTGGACGAGTTATAGATCAATAGGTTATAACGGAATATATGATATAAGAAGGATAGCATAGCAGACATTTCGATACAGCCAAACAAGAATCGCATCAAGTTGGATTAAATGATAAATAATCAGACCGATTAATTAAGTAGAAAATTCAACAGAAAATAAACTGCAGATTCATTTCGATGGATTCGATTTTATGAGTGATTTCAACAAGGAAAGGCGTGTTAAAATCTGGGTACAAGTTTATGTAATCTGAGTTGTCATTATGGTTTGAATAACATTATTTAATGACAAATTATTTCTATTTCAAGAGAGTGGGAATTTACTTTTACGAAATGTTAGTTACCTTTATGTAAACCCAGTTTTAACAAAAACCACTTTCGGAAGATTATATTTCTACAGTTTTGACTCTGTTGGCCATTATGCGAAGGATAGTAGTTTGACTGTGATGTGGCACAATTATTGTCATTTTAATCATATTCGTGGAATACATTTACTGAACAGACATTTGTAGTGAAAAGGACATCCGGAGGTAGCCGTCAATGAGAATTTAGTTCAGTTGATAACGAGACAGGGACAATAGTGTCATAATTTGTTTTTACCGTATAGAAAAGTGCAATATAACGTAGCGTAACTATGACAACGAATACACAGTACCACGTGACCGAATATAAAAGGAAAGACTATGGACCAATTAAGGAATATAAGCTAAAAAACAAACCTAAATATCACGAATACAAATCATACCATGAATATGGAAAAATCCGTGAATATAATAAAATACGAAACCACGAACTTAGGGAATACAAAGCTATCAAGCCTGGTTACAGTGGCTACAGACCAGAAAAGCGTCCACCAAAGCCAGAAAATGAACGGTTGCTTCCCAAACGCGAGAGACAGTATAATCGCATGCGATGGTTCAGACAGTTGAAGCATTGTTATAAATTACCGATGGGACCCGAATACCCAGTAAAAACGTATAAAACTCGGGAATACAAACGTAAAAAACAACAGCTTGATTATCACGAGTACAAAGGATACAAATCCTTCAAGGGATATCCAGAATATAATGGATCAGTTCATTATCCATTGACTGCCTTAAACTATTATGGATTCAGACGTGGTAAGCGAGTCTACCGGCCCATAACTCCAGCAACGGTTAAACCTAAACCGGTTTGGTATCCATTGGCACCGGTTCCAGAGCCAGAATTTCCACAACAAACGTTAACCAAACCGACCGTAATTGAACCTCCCCAACCACAAATGACGGTTAACAAACCCCTTTCCCCGGCATCAGAAATCGTTTATCCACAACAGGTTTTGATCCGCCCGGCAACAGTCAAACCGGTACTCCCAATCGTAAAAGAAAAGGAGGTTTATCAACCAATCATCAGAGAAAACAACGGGTTTTATCGCTTGAAACACCCGGTTACTTATCATGAATATAAGAGTTACCATGGCTACAACACACGGTTTAGACCATACCAGTATAAAGAATATAATCAATATCGAGACTATGATCATTTATACATATATACCGCCAAAGACATGCCCGATCGTAAACCACACATATTTAGACAGGAAAAAGATATCCGGCATATATCTTATCCTGAAGAACCCGTCAAGGCTGAACCAGTGTCTAAAGCACCTGTTGAACAACCACAGAAACAGCCACAAAAATGGAAAAAAATATTCGCCAAGGAGGAGAAGCTAAAGCAACAAATTCTTATCATGCCAACCACGAAACCAGAAAAAGTGAAACCTAGAAAGAAACTACCAAATCAAAATGAACCAGTTTATCCGAGCCAGATGTTGATCATGCCAACACTCGTCGTGCAAGAGACCGTCCAAGAAACCGTGGTAAAGGAGGAACAGACTCGGGTTCAAAGAGCCCCCAGACCACGATACATACCCATCAAACGAGAATACGTAGAAGAATCCCAGGTTTTGATTTTACCAGTTGCAAACAAGAAGCCACACTATGTCCCAACAACCAAACAATATGTAGAAGAATCCATCACTGTGATTGCCCCAAAGAAAAAGCCGCCTCCGATAAAACCAGTTGAGATTACTGAAGAGGTTTCGGAAGTTGTTAAACCGACTGTAGCACCAATAGTGGCGACGGCAGCGGCTGCCCCGCCTCCAAAAGCCCCAGTCCAACAGAAATATGTCCCTACGTACAGTACATATGTGGATCAATCGGTCATTGTAACTATGCCTAAGAAATTTAGAAAAGAAGAAGTAAAGGTAGAGAAACCCATACCAGTCCCGCCCCCTGTTTTGAAAGTGGATAAAGAAATTCAGACCAAACCTATGACACCTATTGCACAACCTAAACCATTTATACAAGAGCAGACAACCCATCGTACACCTGATCCTATAGTCGTCCCACTTGTTGCCGCTGCCTCTAAATCAAACCGGGTTAAACAGTCTGAGCCACGACCAATTACTCCCCCCAGTGAACCACCAATCCCTCCACCATCTGTGTCTAAAGTAGTCCAACCTGCACCCGTAATACTACAAGCCGAACAACCTGAACAAGAAAATGCCCAAACAATTATTAACCCAGTAGTGGTTCCTATTGTGCATGCGAAACCTCCACCAAAACAGAAAGAAAAGCCCAAACAGAAGACGGTTGTGGTCGTTCCCACACCCACGCCACAGCCTAAGCCGTCTACACCAAAAGAACAACCTAAACCAGTTATAGCACCTGTTCTAGCAATACCAGAAGTTAAACAGAAATCTCCAGAATCTAAACCAGTTCAGCTACCCCCACCGCAGCCAAGTGAACTGGCACCCGTTCAACAACCGAAAAGCAAACCGGACATTGGCCCAGTGGCAACAATACCGCACTTTAAACCGAATGACCCGGAACCTAAGCAGCCTCCAATAAAAGCCGAATTGCCAAAATTAACGCCAGTCGAGCAAAAGGTGGAGCGGCCTAGATACACACCTTTACCAGTGAAACCCCCGCAGCCGAGACAAGCCCCACCTAAACCGAAACCAGCGGAAAAACCTGTACAATCCAAACCAGAGACCCCTCCAGAACCTGATCGACCAGAAACTCCACGTACACCCCCAAAATTACGAACCGCCATCAGAAAACCGAGTATTTCTCGAGCTGCTTCACCACCCTTAGAAATGCCAAGTGCACCTCCTCCCAAACGGAAGGTAAGTGTTCAACGTTATACAACTTTTAACCATTTATAGTTCGTTCCTGGCTGATTTGTACATATCGGGCAGTTTTTATTTTCACTACCGTCTTCTCATACATAAAAGCTATTTGTCGGACAATGTACATGACTGTCGAACAGTGAAGTATTCTTTGGAACCTTAAAATAGACGACAATGGGTCTAGAAGCACATATTAATGTAATATGAATGTATCAAAGTGATTATATTCAATTTTTAAAAAATAAATTGTTGTAATTTCTAATCAATTATGTTCGGTGAAATATGTGATCAGTGAAAATTGAACGGCGGTAGTTTGTACATGTCTTGTTGTTATTATTTTGTCATTTATGAATCAGCCATTACTAATGACTTCCGAATTGTCTTGTAGGATATGTTGTCATTGTTCATTGACAATGGCACCAGAAACCATAAAATACACGACTCGTGTATTGATTATAAAATGTTCATTATGTTTTAAATATTGGATATTATTATACCAACATTTTTGTAGGGCAAGAAAACAACATCGGTATTGATTGAAATAGACAAATCGGGAATCATAATTCGTGGTTTTAATTTCGGATATTATGAAACATATTGAGTTAGAGGTCTCTATCGTCATTTTGGCGTATATACATACACATTGAGCTTTATAAACAGAGAAATTGACGTCAGTTTTATTATGAATTAATACAATGACATTGGGATTCAATTTCATGGATGCAAAGCATTAATTGTGATATCACATATTGTCTATATCATTATCTAGTGCTTTGAGTGCCCATCCTTTCCCACATCTGACGATAAAGGATAAAGCACACGACCGAGAAACTTTTCTCATAAAAAGTGTTGATTTACAAAAAAAATATGTAGCTGAGCAGGGGGCTGGGGTGGGGTTTCGCCCCCCCAAACCCCCCTCTGGATCCGCCCCTGTTGCTTGATTTGTTTCTCCCGACACACCACTGTTTACTAGAGGCTATGGACAGTTGTCGAACATCTCCCGATTGGTATCCGATGCCTAAATCCCCATTAACAGCTTGTGGGTATGTTACGTTCCTTATGAGGATGCAGGTTAATTGCAGGTTATTACTAACCGTGGGAAGTCCATATACAATCGTCTCTCTTTGTGGAGCCACGGTGGCTAAGTGGGTAAGACGTTGGCTCGCTAGCCTGGAGGTCGCGTGTTTGATCCCTGCATTGGCCGAGAAAGTACATCGGGGTTTACCAACGTGGTTTCCGCTTGCCAGAGGGAAAGGATCCCCTGGCAGTTGGAATTCGATATAAGAGTAGGCCATAGTGTCGTTGCCCGGGCCAATTTTCCCTCATAGCACTACTGTATGGCGTATGCCCGTCTTCATTAGCCCAGTATAGGATCAGAACTGTAGGACGTTATACCCCATTTTATTTTATTTCGTGTCTCTTTGTCCCTTTTATCGACTGTATATATATAAACTGTATTTTATGTCTCTAATTGTTGAAATGCTCTACTTTCAGCCGACCCCTGAAACAGCGCCGTCAATAGCAGTACCAAAATTAGGAGCACTAGGAACAGTCAAAAGAACGTTTAATATGATGGGATAATAGATCATGAATTCAGTGGAACTAAAAACCAGATGTTGTTTAGTTCGTTTTTCATTTCCGTCGATTCATATTCCGTATTTCATATTTTACCGGAATCAGTTGCACAATATCTGACATGATTTATCAGCGTGACGTGTTATTGGTTGTGTGCTGTGAACGGCCAATGAAAACGCAACTGTTCCATTCCTAGCCATACAAGGCCCAATGATCTACCTTTTTATGTTAGATCAAAATAAAGTATAAAATTGTGTTGACTTGTTGCGTTATTTCGAGGAGTGATATGACACTTTTTGTGCGATTAACTATTTGTTTAGATGGATTACGCGGCTTTTGGTCTGTTTACGAAACGTATTTTCACCTCGGGCTTCCCATGTTGTCAATGAAACACACATTCGTTACATGTCAACACTATGGCTTTATCTACGGACGTGAACAGTTGAACGAAGACATTTCTTAAACATTTACAGTATTCTGACAGTTTGGCTTCATTCCACAATAGATTGTTACAAATTTAGGACCTTTGACGTAAAAGGAATATTATTTTAACAAAATAAATTGATATTATTGTAAATATATGTATTTTAATGTGTGAATTGACCATTGTTATTGACATTTCGTATATTAAATACTTGATATTTCTTGTATTAAATACTTGATTTTTTTTATAATAAATACTCGATATTTGTTATTATAAATACTCGATATTTGTTATTATAAATACTCGATATTTGTTTAAATAAATACTTAGATATCTACAACATTACTTGTTATTTGTTATAATAAATACTTGATATTTGTTATAATAAATACTTGATATTTGTTATAATAAATACTTGATATTTGTTACATTACTTGATATTTGTTATAATAAATACTTGATATTTGTGACATTACTTGATTTTTGTTATATGAAATATCTGATAATTTGTTATATTAAATACTTGATATTTATTACTTTGCCTGATATTTGTTATATTTCATACGTGATATGCGTTACATTAAATACTTGTACATTAAATACTTGATATTTGTTACATTAAATACTTGTTATATTAAATACTTGTTACATTAAATATTTAATATTTGTTACATTGTTACATTAAATACTTGTTACATTAAATACTTGTTACATTAAATACTTGTTATATTACATATTTGATATTTGTTACATTGTTAAATTAAATACTTGTTACATTAAATATTTGACATTTGTTACATTAAATACGCGATATGTGTTACATTAAATATGCGATAATTGATATAACAAATTATTGAGATTTGTTATAACAAATACGTGATATTTGTTACATTAAACCCGTGAAATTTATTACATTAAATACTTGATATTTGTTACATTAAATACGTGATATGTGTTGCATTAAATACGTGACATTTGTTATAATAAATACTTTTTATTTGCTATATTAAATACGTGATACTTGTTAGAACATATACGTGATACTTGTTATAACAAATTCTTTATATTTGTTACATTAAGTACGTGATATTTGTTACATTATATACTTGATATTTGTGCTGGAACACTGTGTCAAGTACAATTCCTTATGGTAATGAAGAAGAGATAGATAGATGCACCATGCTGTGTTGGGCCTTAAATTCCCAAGAGTCTTGTGTCTTATATATGGCATGCAAAAAAAAAAACACAAAAAAACTATGGCCCATGTGTCTTACATGGCAAACTTAAAATAGTTAGTATCCCTTTGTCTTGGGGTATGTGTGTCTTACAGGGCACACATAAAATAATTATGGGCCACGTGTCTTATAGAGCACACATGACGAATGTGTTTATCATCGTCACGTAAGCTATGATTTAATGACGTATTCGAACATTACGATATATTCATAGTTGACGAATCTGACGTTATACAACCAGTTTAGCATTCGTTAGTCGAGTACAAGACACCCAACCCAACCCATATTCAAATTTCAAATGAATAAATATTAAGCTATAATATCAAATATCAAATGTTTCACATCCGGAGCCGCGGTGTTGTCCATCCAGCTGGTTCGATTACGGTTTTGTCCGAGAAGGTTACTCGGATGCGCTTCTTCATTAGCCCGAAAAGTCGTACTTTAATCGCCATTTCAATTTATTTCCTTTCCTTTCATGTCCTACACATTTTTTGCACTTTTGGCATGTATATGGTTCCATACAACTGAAGTGATTTCATTTGGGGATAACATATTTTAATAAAGTCAACATCAATGGGTGACGTATCATGTAACATGAGCCTTTTCTTAGCAAGTAAATATATGAATGATTTGAATAATGGGGGTGTTGAATACAAGTCGTGTTCATGGACATCAATCAAGTCTATTAAACATAAACCTGTGATATAGACAATAACACACGTTTCATTTCGAGGCTAACGGGCGATATAGGTATATATAACCATACATGATTATTAATAATTAAATATTCTAAATATTACACACCTATCTACTGTACGTCTACACATTAATTACTCACTTTTTAAAGTGATATCTATATTTTTGGATTTTAAATTCATTTGAAATCTCAATCCGGGAGTAAAGAGGTGATTTAAAACTGTCTGCGTGTGTAATTATAAAATGTGTGATTGTGTTATCTCAGTCAGTATTATTTCGCTGGATTACAAAGCAATGAATTGAAAATGGTTAAAAACTCTCATTTGTGAAATCCTGCATAGTGTTTAAACAAGGATATTTCGGACATAATCGGACTAATATAAAGTTTGTTTTGAGGTGACAGAACGCCATTGTTTCTTTTACGGTGATTTTAATCTAAAATATTGCGAAATATGGTGGAAATATTGAATAGTGTTGCAATAAAATTCGAAGTAATCTGAAGTCACAGAACGTCTCAGTAGTTCGGTCTAAAATAATTTAAAAATACTCAAAAAACCTCAGTTATTATTAAATTCTGTTTTTATTCAGGATTTTGTAGATCAATACGTGTGAATTAGAATAGAAATAATTTTAGTGAATAACATCCAGGTATAGTATCTATGAATTAGATTCAAAAAACTATTTTCTCCGATAATATCAGAAATAACATTTTAGTGAAATAAATTCAAAAGAAAATTTGGGGAATCATTCAAGAGAGTATTTTTTGTATATAACATTAAACACATTATTTTCTGTGCGTATCATAACATTTTAGTGCATAACTCCGATTAAAATAATATCTCTGATTTGTTTTGTGATAATTCGAAAACGTATTTTCTGTGATAATTCGAAAACATATTTTCTGTGATAATTCGAAAACGTATTTTCTGTGATAGTTCGATAACGTATTTTCTGTGACTGACATGCGATAAAATATTTTTGGTGTATAGCATTCTAAAAACAAAAACGTGTCACAAACTATTTAAACTCAGTAAGAGGTCATATTATCATAATGCGCGTAAAGGAATATAAAATTCGAGACTACAACAAGCCCACGGAATACCGAATAAGACATAAGCCAAAATACCACGAATATTCATCATATCACGAATACAACAAAGTACGAAACTACCATCACAGAGAATACAAACCAACCCGCGTAGGTTACCATGGATACAAAGCAGGCCTCACCAAAAGGGTTACCAAACCAAGACAAAATACGAAACGTAAAAGACTCAATCGTCCAGAGCGATGGCCAAAACAAATCAAATATTGTTACAATAAACCTGGTGGTCCCGAATATCCAGTTCATGAGTACAAACAACGTGACTATAAGCCGAAACCTTATAACCATAAGTATAGGGAATACAACGGTTACAAGCCTTATAATAACTTTCTCGAATATAAAGGTAATGTGAACTATCAACAAACACCACAGAACTATTATGGTTTTCGTCGTGGTAATCGAGTCTATAGACCCGCTACCAGGGAATCCGTAGACAAAATTATACAGAGGAAACCAAAAGAAAGGGTGCAACCGAAAACTGTTCCTAAGGAAACAAAACAGGCCCCGAAAGTTAAGGAAAAACCGCAACCACAGAAAGTTACGTCGCCTGAAAAGGCAAAGGTTGTTGTCATAGCAAACGATACAAAAATCGCGCCAAAACCTAGACGAATCGTAAGGAGGGAAGACAACGGATTATACAAATCTCACGACTATACCAGTTATCATGAATATGCCCATGTTCACAACTATTCGGGTTACCGGGAATACGAGGCTAAACCCTACGATCACCGGTTCGATTATACCAGTAAAAACTCAACTGACGGTAACCCTCATATAGTTCGGTTAGACGAAACTGTCGAACCGACGACAACGCATCAACCAGCCCCTAAACCTCTAGTGGCCACTTCACGGACAAAAAATCCCAAACCTAAACCTAGGGAAGCGCCGACGGTTGCCAAAGTTGCTTCAAAAGTCAAACGAGAGGAAAAGCAATCAGAGATCAAGAAAGAAGAGCCAAGACAACAAACGATTGAGGAATCCCAAGAACAGAAATTCGATACAGAGCGTCCCGATAGCGCATGGGATTCTCCAATTGTTGAACCACAAGTACCGACAGCTATTGTTGCTTCTGTAGATGAGTCAAAAACTATTGAATCATACAGAAAGATTTCGACTCCGTCAAAAACAGACGAACGTGTCCAACAAAGTCAACGGATCAGTCCTATTCCCGTGGCCGCAGCCGCAGTCGTGGGGTCAAACGTTTCAAATGGACGTGTACGACAGAAAACAGCGACAGCGACGACTAAAACACCAACCATAGAAGAATCTCCTAGGGTGCAACCTCCTAAACAAAACTCAACAACACCCTCAGTTACTTCCACACACCTTCCAGTAGTAGCAGTGGCAGCTGTCACGACACAGTCATTAAATAAAACGAACGAATCATCCGTTACGAAACTGCCTCCAATTGCTAAACCCAGAACTCCATCTCCGAAACAAACGTATCTTCCTGTCAGTGAATCGCCCAAACCGGTTCCGAATCAACGTCAAACAATAAGACGTTACAGTGACATCGAACCGGATCCAGTTGTCCTACCTCTGATACCGGTTCCATCTCCCGCGAGTTCGCGTCCAAAACCACAAGTCTCAAGCCCAACAAATGATGCCAGCAAAGGTCGATTACCACCAGAAGTTGTTGCAACCATGGGGGCTTACAATAATGTGCACGTGAGTACAGATTTATTTTCAAAAAAGGGCGAGGTTATTCATTCACTTCGAAATTCATTTACCTATTGTATTTATGAATTACGGATGCCCCGTAAATAGTTTTGAAGGATTGATGACGCTAAGCAGGGTCGTCTTAACGCAAGGACTCGATGCCTATAGTTTGCCCGGGTGTCCCTCGAGCATAGTGGCTCAGGTAAAAGAGAGAAAGAGAGAAATGGGGTTTAACGTCCACTCGACACAAACTAGGTCATTTCGGGACTAACATATGGTTTAATTTTATTTCAATAATTCGCTTACGCGTAGGGGTCTTTAGCAGTGGGAGGAATCCGGAGGACCCGGTGAAAACCCACGAGGTTGGACAGGCGACCCTACTCCTTGTCACGTACAACCGGGGATTCCAAACCACGCCAGTTGAATCAATGACAGGTCTTATGATAAGCTTATGTAACACGTGTCCCACTCTTGAAGGAAAATAAAACGAAACAATTAAATTTTTGTATTTACTGCAACTATATATCCGAACAAATTATTATTTTTTACCATTGAATTTTCGTTTCCATTAAATGTGTTTTGTAATTTTTTC